TTTCTTTCTTTCTTTCTTTCTTTCTTTCTTTCTTTCTTTCTTTCTTTCTTTTTTTTTTTTTTTTTTTTTTGAGTCTGGGTTACTGCTTCTAACTCTCAGGCTAGAGAGAGATGGCTCAGTGGCTAAGGGTGATTTGCTTTTGCAGAGGACCTGAGCTTGATTCCTAGAACCCATGTTGGACAGCTTTGTAACTCCAGCTCCAGGGGAACCCAATGCCTCTGGCCTCTGTGAGTATCTTTACTCAATGGGGCATTCCCATACAGACACATAGGCATATCTAAAAATTAAAAATAAACCTTAAAAAAAAAAGAAAGAAATGTTTTGTCAACCCCATTCTCTAGTCTTTACTCCTGATTCTTTCCTCAGGCTAGGATGGGATGGGGTAGTTTTTGGAAACCATGATCTACTTTGCTTATTTCATACTCAAAATGTAATTTATCTCACTAAATGAAATGATAGACAAAAGTCTTTTTCTTCAAGCTTCTGTCTATGTGGTCCAATGGAGTTGAGCATTTATTGTTCCTGTAGGAGAATCTGGGGCCATATGACCTGAGTCCTTTGTTGCTACACCCCCCCCCCCCCGCCGCCTATATACCAGAGTTTTTGCATCACATGGTTATTGTCAGAATGTGTCTATAGTGTGTATCATTTCATTATTTTTGTTAGGGAATAGCAAGACTTTTCAGTTTGCTCTTGAGCTTGCTTGTTCAGCTTTATGACACTCTTTTCTGTTGTAGCGTGGGCTATTACTGTCTGCTTTCATTTTCCTGGCTTCTTCCTGAGACCAGTGTCATCTCTGATGTATGTCTTTGCATGCCATTGTCTACGTTACATTTATAACCTTCTTCCCCACATCCTGTGATCTTTGATGTTTGGTTTCACAGCCGTGCTTTGATATCTTTGTCACACAGATCTGCCTATGTTCCAATGGAAATCTGTTCCTGCCCTTCGTCTGCCTTGTAGACTCTGTCTCACAAAGCTACTCTTTCTTCTCATCTCATTTGCCTGCCTACGTCCTGTTCTCCCTGCATGCCCTCAGGTTCGATGCCATGAAACTCTCTTCATCTATCTTATCAGAGGCGTATTTTAAACATCTATATTTTCCATCTCTGTCTCCTGGCCTGAGGCTCAGTGGATGGCTCTTCCTGTGAGTTTCTCACAGATGTTTGTTCACTGGGATCTCATAACCTCTGCCTTTTCTTTCCTTTTGCTTGGTTGGGAATACCAGGAAAGACACTAGATTTCAGTGTTTCTCTGGAGAACCTCTATATAGAGTAGCCTTGCTCTGCTCATAGGCATTAAGTTGTTGCCTGAAATTTCTCTTTAGGACCACAGAGGGCCAGTTTGTGTCTCAGCTTGTTGCCTGTTTCATAACGGGGTGCTAGCTCTTCTGCAGTGTGGTTTTAGTGGGCTGAAATGAGGCTTTTGTGGACCAACTCCCAAAGACATTTAAGTTACAGAACATGGGCTTCTGTGAGGTGCATTGTAAAGGTGGGTGATGAGAGGGTGGCAAGAAGTAGGCAGCAGAACAGAAAAGGACACAGCAGCCTCCAGACATGGCCCCCAAGGATGCCCGTGTATATGAAGACAGCCTGGTCTCTGTCCCTATGAGCAGAAAGCTTGTCTCACCTCTCTCCAGGGACACGAGGGCACACGAGCAAGCGACAAACTCTTCACATCTAATTCACCTGCTTCCAGTTTCTTTTCTTTTAAAGATTTCTTTTTATTTTGAATTATGTATACCTGTGTGTAGGGGAGAGGTGTGTGTATGTGTGGATGCAATGGCCTGCAGAGGCTAGAAGAGTGTGTTGGAACCTCTGGGGGTTGACTTACAGGTGGTTGTGAGCCGCTGGATGTGGTTCTGGGCCTTAGCAAGGGTAGTGTGTGCTATTAACTTGAAGCCATCTTTCTAGACCCTTGCCTTTTACTCGCAGGAATTCTGGTTAAAGCTGACAGTGTTTTCTTTTTCCCATCAGCATAAATTGTCAGCTTATTTCTCCCCATCCTCCTAGACAGTTTGCCTGGTGCTAAAGTCGAAGGTTACTGCCTGCCAAGCCTCAGAGGTCCTGAGCACAGGCTATAGCTGGAAGTGAGCTCCCGGCCAGACCCAGAGGTATCTAGCTCACACAGCTGTGGACTTTATAATTTACAAGATAATTACAGACCATGAGAAAGCGCTCCAAGGAACTCAAAGTTCCCGCACACGCTTAGGCTTACATGGAGCTGTGCATCATTCAAATATTCGGCTTCTTAAGTGTGTATTTCTTTGTGTCATTTTTATAATGACCCATAGAAGCATGATGTATAGAAGCATGATGTGGTCTTAGGTTCAGATGGAAACTTTTCTGTCTTCTATTTCAGACTGTAAGGCAAACGCACACAAGGGCTGCAAAGATGCTGTGCCTCCATGTACCAAGGTAAGCCCTCCCCCAATCGCCACAGAATATGGGTGCTCTGTGCCTAGCTAGCTTGTTTGTTCCATCTGCTGCTGGACTGCGGTGGCAACACATGCTCAGAGTATCTGGGCACTTATCCAGCTCTTCACTTTTAACAACAGAGAGAAGAGCCACTTGTGTTAGGTGAGGCGGACAGGCTAGGTTTTCCATCTAGATCAGTAGTCTCAAACAGCCAGCGTCAGTAATTCTGTAATTCTGTAAAAACTTCAACTAATAGGTCCCCTCCCAGGTTTTCAGATTCTGTGAGTCTGGGTGGCTCCTGGGGACATAGGAGCACCACCTGTGGCTGAGAGCCCGCCTGCAGGCATGGCACGAGGATGTGCAGTTGGGGAGGGCTTACAAAGGTGGCTGTGATCCTGCGTATCATGTGTGGGACGTGTGTGAGTTTGAGCAGGGCACTCCTGCAGTGTGGAAGGGGAGGGGGGTTCTCTCAGAGCTCTGTGTTAGCTGCTACATCAGAGGGTCAATGCAGAGGGTGATGCCACACAGCTTGGGGAACATCCCTGGCAAGAGGAATACACAGAGGGAGAAAGACACAAAGGGAAACAAGGCAGTGCCCTAGAAGGGCCTTACCCCCAGGGTCTGGCTGCATGAGCTGTAGGTATTGAAAGCTGAGCCTTTTAAGCGCTGAGTATTTCTGAGGCTCATCCCGGTCATACTTTCACATTTCCTTGTTACCTCAACCTACTTTTTGTTGCATTTACTGTCTTTTTTCTTTGAATTCTTCTTTGAGATAAATAATATAACAAATCTGAAGAAGATAAGAATCCTATTTTGAGTAACCATGTGTATATTCTTGTAACCCAGTGGTGCTTTGATCTTATTTTATGTGTTTCTAATATTTTTTTTTTTACTAGAAATTCCAAGAGAAATACAACAAGAACAAACCACAAACCATCCTTGGAAGTAAGTGATATGGGAAAATGACAAGAACTTTAAAAAAGATGTAATGTATACCATACGTTTCCCATCATAAACTACCTCTTGCTTTTCTTTTCTAATTAGTCTAGTTATTTCTTCTTCATAGCATATGTGTGGCATAATTTTGAGCTATGTAAAGAAGTCAGGAAGGATGCTCTCTTTTAGGTCAGCCTGAGAGTTTCTGCCTTGTATATAGAATGTGACCTGTATATCACTGGGACTGTGTGGAAATAGTGTTACCCAAGGGCCTCAATTCTAATGCCATTTATTGGAATATAGCCTATTGGTTTAATGATTTGGCAGGGAGAACAGAGACATTACATTAAATGTACGTGACATTGCATTAAGTGCTTTCCCAACAGTAGCCCATACTCACCTATAGAAATCCATGCTAAATTCTTCCTGTGAGTCACAGGGGAAAGGAGCCCTTGGCTTTGGATGTGCCTGTCCTCCCTGGTCCCTGTGGTCTGGTGCTGTGGAGACCCTGGGCTGGGAGAAGCTGCCTGTGAGGCTGTGGTCCCATTCACACCTTTAGTGTGGTGCTGAAATGGCAGAGCATGCTGAAGTTTTATCTGTATATTTCTGAATTTGATGGCTCTGTTTTTGTTTCAATTATATGCTGCTGAGCTTTAAATATTTTTCTCTTGAAAACAGCCAGTAACCTTTGACACTTCCTTGTGTTACGTGCTGGAGCCAGTCACAGTAATGTATCCTCAGTTTGAAAAACATTTGCTTTCTCGAGAGAGATTTTGTAATTTCTTCTATCTGCACTTGCTTTGCCTGCTGAGTGGCAAGACTTTTACGTACCTGGTCACTTTCCACTTCAGTGCTGTATCAAAGTGTGACTGGCATCTTGAATACCACTTTGGTGGAGACAATTAAGTGTACAAAGTCATGGAGACATGCTTTTGGGTGTGGTGTTATGCAAGATAGTTTAAGCTGTCTTGTCACTCAGTTCCTTGCTTTGACTTCACAAATTGCTTGAAATAAAATCTGAGATGCTTCTTATTTTCTTGAGGTTAAATGGGTGACTAAAAAGAAGCCTAGAATTTAGACATTTAAATGTCATCTATTACTCCCCTTCATGTGAAATCTGTGAGACTAAAGCAGAGATGTGTACATTCCCTTGTTACATCCTGGGATCTGTGTAAACATTTCTCCCTTTCGATCTGGAATTGGAACTCAATAGCCACAATCGAAAGGAGCTGAAATGCCCTCTTAGTTCAAACCCATGTGTCCATGCCCACTTGTTTTCAGCATCTGAGAGAGATCAGCCCGCCTGGGCTGTGGGTTTTGTTTGCCCAAGAGTCTTGCTCCATAAAGGGGTAGACTCTCCAGCATCATTCCTTTCCATTGGGCTGCTCTCCGGGGGCCTAGGCCTGTTTACACACACCGTACACATTTTGCCAACAGAGCTAATAACACCTTGCCTCTCTTTAAAGCCGCCTTCGAGGAGTACAAGCAGTGGTTTATGGGAAAGCTGGCCTGTGCTTCCCCATTCCATTCGCCTGTTTGCTTGGTCACTGCAGACAGTCACAGTCTCCAAGGGAAGGTGTGGAAGTAGGCCTGCAGCACGGGTATTGGAAGGGTGAGGAAAGGAAGGGACATCTGAGAAGTGCAAGAAGTGGCAGAGAGACCGGTTTCTAGGCTGGGACGCACTGCTTTAGAAGTGAGGGGTCACCTGTCCGGACGTCTCTGCCTTTCTTTGCTCGTAAACTCTGTCCTTGCACATGAGTGTCTGCTGTGTTTCCAGGCTCTTCAGTTAGAGACGTCCCACAGCCTGGGCTCTCCTTGCACCCTTCCTCCTCCATGCCCATCGGACTCCCAGCTGGCAGGAAGGAAGCTGCAGGGCAGGTGCACCCGCTGTCCAGAAGCGTCCCGGGCACCACTTTGGAAAGGTGAGGCTCAGCATGCTGCTTTGCTTTCGTGGCCCAAGATGGTTGCTGGGGCTAACGCGTGTCCCCTTTTCTTTCTCCCAGCTTCAGGAGGTCAGTGACATCCTTGGAGTCTGAGGGTGACAGTAACAGCTGGAGAAGCAGGTCTCATTCAGATGAGCTGTTCCAGTCTATGGGCTCATCTCCTTCCACGGAGTCATTCATGATGGAAGGTGGGAAATGCTTGCGTGTTCCTCTGTCTCTGCGAGCACTGAACTGAAAGATAGTTTGTGCAAGAAATTAGATGGAACTGTATTGCTTTATTCTTTTTCCTATGTTTGTGAGTGTAGTGTGTGTGTGTGTGTGTGTGTGTATGCATGAGGGTACATGTGTGTGTGGATAACTGTGGGGTCCTTGCACTGACGTTGGGTCTCATTTTTAATCATTCTCCACGTTACTATTGAGGAGGGATCTCTCAACCGCAGAGCTCACCAATTCTGGCTAGTCCAGCTAGCCAGCTTACCCTGGGAGATCACCTGTCTAAGTCCTGGGATTACAGGAGGCCACCATGCCTGTTTGGCTTTTGTGTGGTTTCTGAGGGATCTAATCTCAGATCCTTACACACCAAACACTGATCTGCTGAGTTGTTGCCTCAGCTTCCTGTTCTTCTTTTAGAAGTTTTGTGGTATCTATTTAATGTAGCATCTAGTTTTCTTAAGGGTTTCAAAAATACCTGAATGTAAGAAAGTGTTGAGGGTGTTGAGTGATGGAGAGGAGAGTGCAAAGTGTGCTCAGAATGCACGTCATACATGTATGAAATGTCAAAGAACAAACGCAATAAAAGGCTTTTTAAAATGACAACTTAGTCTTGAGGGACACAATCAGGAGTGACTGAGGAGAAAATCAGCGGCATATTCCTAAAAGATGGATATAATCAAGAGAATTAAATACACGGTAGGTTATCACTGACAAGGGCCCACAGCTATTGAGAGATTGGCGTGGACTCCTCCATGCAAATGCATGTTAATTTAAGACTACTTCTGCCTGGATTGCTGAGAGATATGTCCCACCTGCTGCCCGCTACTTCTGGGAAAGGAAGCATTTACAAGAGTATTTTGTAGGATGCAATTCAACATGGGAAATTGGTTTTTTTGTTTCCAGGTTGCCTCAATAAATGAAGGCAACAAATGGAAGAAGAGACAGAACTGAGTAGAAAAAGGAGTGGATTCTGTTTCTTTAAAGTCTGTTGTCATTTCCATTTTTTCAAACCCCAGTTGGGATCTCTAAGGAGCATTGTGTAGGGAAAATATGCTTTAGTTTTTCTGAAAGATGTTTGTTCATTCGTGTGTGTCTCTCTCTGTGTATTTCTGTGTGTGTGTTTGTATGTATGTGTGTCTGTATATCTGTGTGCATGTCTGCAGATTGTGTGTGTCTGTTTATGTCGGTGTGTGTCTTTGTGTGTCTGTGTGTGTATGTGTCTGAGAACGTGTGTGTGTGTGTATGTGTGTGTGTTATTTTCCTGAAAGGTGTTTGTGTATGTGTTTAGCTCTGTCAGAGAAGTTTGTACTCGTGTGACTCAAGCCCTGCACTGTGCTTCCTGTTTTGCCAAATTCAGTGTAATACCAAGTGGACAAGTTCAAATTCCGATTTGAGTAAACTGTAAAATAACCCAGGCAAAAGAGATCAGGGGGTCAAGACTCTGTAAGTACAGCATGGGCTGTGGAGGTTACGAGGTAAACTCCAGTAGGATGAGCCCAAACAAACCAAGGAATCTCTAATATCCTCACAACCTCCCTGTGCAGTTCCTGTTGGAGACTGCTCTTCTTTGCTCTGCGGTAGTTGCCTTGCTTTGAACCACCCCATGTCTCATTTTCAGAGGCTTCAGGTCTGCACTGTGTTGCTCTTGCTGGGGCCTCTTGGTGCTTTTGGCAGATTTGAGCCTGGGAACCTGGTACTTGGATATCTCTTTGTGGTGAGTGCTTTACATACTTGTGACTTTTCTTTCCCAGATGTTGTGGATTCCTCTCTGTGGAGTGACCTCAGCAGTGATGCTCAGGAGTTTGAAGCAGAGTCTTGGAGTCTTGTGGTGGACCCTTCCTTCTGCAGTAAGCAGGAGAAAGATGTCATCAAAAGACAGGATGTCATTTTTGGTAAGCATTTTAACTATTTCCCTGAATTGGCGAGGTGTGGAGCAGGGAGCGTGGGCAGTGACATGCCCAGATCTGGGCTCAGGCCTGGTTTGCCATTTTCCCACTTTCTGATCTCAGACAAACTATGCAGCTCCCCTGGATCTCAGTTTCCCAATCTATAGAATAGGGATAAAACTCAGATATAAAATGTCCCAAGGCTTAAATGCAACCTTGCTTTAGATGAGGCAAAAACACTCTATTCAGACCTTTTTCCTCTCTATCACTGATACTTTAGTAGTTTGGAAGCTTGTGTCAAACTTGTCTCATGCTCCTACACTTTTGGGGATCCTGTTTTCTCTCACAGCGGATTTTAAAAGTTGGGATATAATCCACATGTCATAAAATTACACACCACGTGTGATCAGGAGGGTTTTAGTGTATCGCCCAGAGCGGGGCAGCATCTAGCATATCCAATCCTGGAATGTTCGCCTCACTTCAGAAGGAGACCTTCTACCATTAGAACACACTTCCCATTTCTCTTTCTTCCTCCGGATTTGGGCAACTGCTAATCTATTTTTTGCTCTTTGCCTCACAGTGTGTGTATGTGTCTCTGTGTGTCTTGTTACTTGACATGATATTTGCAAGAATTATCATACTTAAAATATAAACACACTTCATTCCCTTTTTGTAGTCAATAATGTCCCATTTTGTTTTTCTAATCATCAGCGGGTGGACATTTTTGTGTTGTCCCTCTCTTTGGAGTAATATGGTAACTCCGTTTTAAATCTTTTGGGAGCTCAGACTGTTTACTAAGGCAGCTACAGCATCTTACATCCTTTGCCGGTGCAGATGGTTCCAAATCACCTCCACCAACATCTTCTCTTGTTATAATTAGCCCCGTATGTGTGACATGCTATGCTTTTTGGTTTTGATTTGCATTTCCCCACTAAGGATGTTGAACTTGGGTGGGGAGGAATGAGGATAGGGGTAGGCTGGGGAAGAAGATGGGGATAATTAACGAAAGCTCTTTGCCTTAGAAACAATCCCATTACTCTGTTTATCCGAAGTCCTGCTGAACATCTCTTTGGGTACTTAGTAAGCGTGTTTGTTTCTGAAGTAATGCCCATTAAAATCCTTTGCCCATTTTTGAATTCTTGAAAACATTTAGTTATAAGACTTTTCATCCATGTATATGATATGTATATATATATATATATATAAGATATATAACAAGAATTTATTTTTATTATATATACATATTTTTTCATTATTTTCCTCTGGAGAAAAATGGAATCTTGAACAATGATCCTGTGACGGGAAGAATCTGCTATTGCAAAGCCTTGGGATTCTTTAACATTGACCAGGTTAATCACGAATGTCCTCCACACACACACACACACAAGGAAAGAAACTCTTCTCCCCAACAAGCTGTTACATGTTATAGCACATTGGCATGGGGCTCGAAGCTTTTGGAAACATTTGATTCTTAGCTGCTGCTGTACTTGGCTTACACCTGTGGGTCCTTTTCTAATATCTGGAAAATTACTATTTGGAGTGTAAATAAAGTGTTTAATTATCACTGATTTTTATTTCGGGACAAAATGGTCCTATTAGTCTTGAGCATTCCCTCATTTCTGCTTGTGTGATGTAGAATCGAGTTGCAAGGAGCATGTGTGGGGCTTTTTGTCTGTTTTCTCATTTGTGACAGATAAAATTTTGATTAAGTTATCTCTACATCTGACATTATGTAAGTTTCTGTAACTCAGTATATAGCATGATCAAAAACTGAATTTGTATATGAAGAAAGTTACTAGCATTAGTTGGAAGAATGAATAATGAATTATGAAATAATACAAAGGTGACTAGATACTCATTACTATTTAGTATCTCCATCTGCCAGGTCTGTGAAAGGTGAATGGTGAGGGTGTAGGCAAACACAGGCTGTCAGTCTGAACCCTTCTCTTTGAAGTTTCTGTGCTCGAGTGTTCATAGCAATGTAGGAAAGGCTGCATGCCCACCAGGCCTGCTCCAAAGCTCATCTGGGTCACGGGTGTGCACGCGTGGTTTCAGAGCTGATGCAGACAGAGGTACATCACATCCAGACCCTGCTCATCATGTCTGAGGTCTTCAGGAAGGGCATGAAGGAGGAGCTGCAGCTGGACCACAGCACAGTGGACAAGATCTTCCCCTGCTTAGATGAGCTGCTGGAAACCCACAGGCATTTCTTCTTCAGCATGAAGGAGCGCAGGCAGGAATCCTGCACTGACAATGACAGGAATTTTGTGATCAGCCGGATTGGAGATATTCTGGTGCAACAGGTAAGAACGGTATCAAGCTAGTCTCAGAACTCTAAATGTGCACACAGGCCCCTTTTAGGTTTATTGAGTTCATATGTGTGTGTACTGTCTACATGTATGTACCGTGTGCAGGCCAGGTGTCCTCAGAAGTTAGAAGACAGGATAGCATTCCCTGACTCTGAGTTACAGATGGTTGTGAACTACCATGTGGGTGCTGGGGAAGGAACCCAGGTGCCCTGCAAGAGTAACAGGTGCTCTTAATCACTGAGCCATCTCTCCAGTCCTGTTTTGCAGATTCTTTATTAAATAAAATCCCTTGGAGAAATGGAATTGGTTTCATTTTAGCGCTTACTGAATGGGGGCTGTGGGCTCTGTTTTCTTGGGTGTTGGTTGATCCTGGCTATCTAACAGAGAGCTTCGGATAGCCAACAGCTGCCTCTTTTGTGTGGCTCGGGACCTGGCTGGGGTTATTCTGTTTGTCTCTACCGGAGACCGAAGTCATGACTGAATTCCATGGTAAGCTTTGGACTCTGGACTTTTGATGTGAGAAGGGGCTTTTTACAGCATAGGCCCTCCTCTGTGTTATAATGAGGGATGGTTTCAAGTCAAATACTGGCTTACCCTAGGAAGAGTGATATAAATCCTTTATAATTAGCCTAAAAAACTAGATAACGAAGCCTCCCCTAGGGTGTTTGGGGGTTTGGGTGCATCACAGAATGTGTTGTGCCATTGGCTAATACAGAATCAGCAGCCACCTGTATTTGGCAGTGGCAGCGGCTCCAGATCTCTGGAAAGGGATTCTTGCTAAACGTGTGCTTACTCGCAGTGAGGTAATAGTTTGTTCTGGAAGGAAGTATGTGTTCCCTGTGTGTCTCATTTAGCTTTCATAGCATTGTGAAGTGAATGCAATTTTCCCACTGCATAGATGTAAACCTACATCTCACAGGCAATGTACCTGGGAGAGAGATAAGAATCTCCTCTATCATCAAGATGAGCCAAGAATTTTAGCAAACTACAGGAAAGCCTTTACTGTCACGAGATTGTGAATCTGAGGGGGAAAATATGAGTTCTTCTCATCTGTTTATTAACATATTTCAGCACTGTTGTGAATTCTTGGACTTGGAGTACTTATTGAATGATTGACTCTCTTTAAGAAATAGAAGAGAAGTAAGCACCAGGAAGGTCTAGGATACTTAGGGAGGTGCCTATTGCTGTTGTGTGGCTTTTCCCAGGGAACTGTTGAAGTGCCGCCTTCCATAAGAATTTCAGTGTCTGATTCAAGGCAGCCATGGAGTTACACTGTTAGTCTGGTCTACTTGTGAAAGGTATAGGAACTGGATTCACTGATGGTGTAGATGTGATCAAATGTGGTATTTTAGACACATACAGGAGTGCGAGGACTTGCTGTTGCTCGGTGACTGCCCCTGTGAAAGGCTGACTTAGAGAACCTTTTCTTTTGACCGGTTCTTTCTCTGTCATCCACCTGAAACATGGTGGCATAAAGGAGCTTGCTGCACAGTTTAAATGCAATTATCAGAACACAGAGAATATTCAAAACTTAATTCTGTCATTCGAAACTATCTGAATTTCTCTTTCCTTGATAAAAATCATCACAATTTCACTCTCTTTGAACTCTAATCATTGGAACCAGTTTTGTATTTAGATTATTTTTTTCATGTTTAATGGAGACGTATCTTTATCAGTTCTGTATTTAGCTTGTGTAGATAAAGCAGGGGCCAAAATTGGGTCATTGTCATCACTTGACATGGGCCCAGTGGCCTAATAGTTAAAGCATAGATTTCCCTTTTGCAAAAAGGACAGTTCCTTGTTGGCATATGGGGTATGGGGTGTGGCCGGAGTTCTTGGGTATTCCACTAACATTGTCCTCAGGCCATGGTCTTTGGGGCTGTGCTTCAAGGAAACAAAGGAGGAGAGAAGGTATTTTAGGGTGTAGGAAGGCAGGCTCTGGGAACATCGGAGTCTAACTGGACATGTGGATCAGAAGGCTGGGCTGGACTGTGCTGCCACATTGTCAGCAGAATCCTCATGTGGGTGGGAAATTGTGGATATTGTCCAAACCAATCGTTTTTGGTTTGTTTTTTTTTTTTTTCTTTTTCATTTTAACTTCAGGGACATAAGGCTTACCCGAGAGTTGTTAAAAATGAGGCTCAGCATTCTGTCTCTCGGTGGTTTCCATAGGAACGAGCTAAGATCTGAGATTTGCTCAGTAGAATTCTAATTGTCTGCATTATCACTCCTCTGGCTGTAACATCTTCCAAAATGATAACACTGCGATCAGGATGCTGTTGTCCACACCATTAAGACAATGTTCTTTATAGATTCTGGATATCAGCCCTCTGTCAGGGTTGGTGAAGATCCTTCCCAGCCTGTAGGCTGGCATTTTGTTCTGATGACAGTGTCCTTTGCTTTACAGAAGCTTTTCAGTTTCATGAGGTCCCATTTATTGATTGTTGATCTTAGAGCCTGTGCTGTTGGTGTTCTGTTCAGGAAGTTGTCTCCTGCGCCAATGAGTTCAAGGCTCTTCCCCACTTTTTTTCTAACAGGTTTAGTGTGTCTGGTTTTATGTTGAGGTTTTTGATCCACTTGGACTTTAGTTTTGTGCAGGGCAATAAATCTGGATCTATTTGCATTTTTTTTACATGTAGACATCCAGTTAGACCAGCACCATTTGTTGAAGATGCTGTCTTTTCCCCCATTGTATTGTTTTGGCTTCTTTGTCAAAAATCAAGTATCCATAGGTGTCTGGGTTTATTTCTGGGTCTTCTATTCGATTCCATTGATCCACCATTCTGTTTCTATGATGTATGTACCATGCAGTTTTTATTACTGTTGCTCTACAGTACCGCTTGAGATCAGGGATGGGGATACCTCCAGAAGATCTGTTATTGTAGAGCATTGTTTTAGCAATTTTGTTTTTTTGTTTTGTTTTTCTATATGAAATCAAGTTCTATAAAGAATTATGTTGGTATTTTGATGAGAATTGTGTTGAATCTGTAGATTTGTTTTGGCAGGATGGCCATTTTCACTATGTTAATCCTACCAACCCATGAGCATGGGAGATCTTTCCATCTTCCGATATCTTCTTCAATTTCTTTCTTCAGAGTCCTGAAGTTTTTTTCATACAGATCTTTCACTTGCTTTATTAGAGGCACACCAAGGTACTTATATTATTTGTGGTTATCATAAAGGGTATTGTTTCCCTAATTTCTTTCTCTGCCCTTTTGTCTTTTGTACACAGGGCTTCTGATTTTTTTGAGTTAATTTTGTATCCAGAGTGAGGTAACCCAGAAGCAGAAAGACACACATGGTATATATTCACTCATAAGTGGATATTACCCATATAATATAGGATAAACATACTAAAATCTATACTCCTAAAGAAGCTAAACAACAAAGAAGACCCTAGGGAAGATTCTCAATCCTCTTTCAGAAGGACAAATGTGACAGACATCGGAAGCAGGAGAAGATAGGTAACAGGACAGGAGCCTACCACAGAGGGCCTCTGAAAAATTCTACCAATGAGGTATCAAAGCAGAGGCTGAGACTCATAGCCGAACTTTGGACAGAGTGCAGGGAATCTTATGAAAGAAGGAGGAGACAGAAAGATCTGGAGGGGACAGGAGATACAAAAGGAGAGCAACAGAGCTAAAAAAAAAAAAAAAAAAAAAAAAAAAAACCTGAGCCCTGAGAGCCCTGCAGAGACTGCTACCCCAACGTAAAACCCAAGCTCAGATGTAGCCCATAGACTCAGTCTCCAAGTGGGGTTCCTAGTAAGGGTAGGAGGGGCTATCTCTGGCATGAATTCAGTGACAGGCTCTCTGATCACCTCCCCCTGGCGAGTGCATCCTTGCCAGTTTATAGAGGAGACCTGATAGGCTAGGGTCAAATAGAAGGAAAGTAGGACCTCCCCTATCAATGGACTAGGGGAGGGGTATTAGGGGGAGAAGGAGGAAGGGAGGGTGGGATTTGGGAGGAGACAAGGGAGGGGGGCTGCAGCCTGGATACAAATGGAATAAATGATAATATTAAAAAATAAAAAACAGTGTTTCCTCACGCACATTCACAACTTGCTCACTTCCCTCTTGCTCCTGCTCCGACCTCCTCTCAAGTCCTGGAAACTCTGTTTCTGTCATTTTCAAAACTGTTGGATAAGTGGAAATATACAGTATGTAGTTTTTAGGGAATTGGCACAATTCTTTTACTCATCTCAGTGGTTCATGCTTTTTTTTTTTCCTAGCGCATAGTACCCCATGCTGTGGGTGCAGCTGGCTTTTGAAGGTTGCTCATTTGTAGGAGGACATCTTGTTTCTGGTTTATACTTGTTGCACATAAAGTTGTCATGCTTAGGTATGCATTCTTGTACAAACCCAAGTTTTGACTTTTTGGAATAAACTTTTAAAAATTTAATTTCTGGATTTTCTAATTAGAATTTTTTTAAGTGACTTTTGTAACATTGGAGTTCTTTTTTTTATTTCTTTCCTTTTCTGTTTTTGTGCATTTATTGAAAGGGCATTCTTTCCTATTGAGCTATTCTTTTTTTGAACCAAAATTCACTTGTGCATCCTGGGTTTCTACTCATGTCTGCTGAGCCCTATGTCTGCATCTTCATTCCAGCTTGAAAATTCATACTGTAGTAATCTGGAAAACTGAACATTGGAGTCTTCCTGCTGTACGGAGGATGTTTTAAATGTTTTCTTTGCATTTCCTGTAAATGGAAGAATAATCTTCCTCATATTTATAAAGAGCTAGCTGCAATTGTTCTGATAAGATTTGGGTTAAGTGTATTTTGTACCTGGGAAGAACTGACACCTTTGTATTTTAATTCTTCCACTCTGTGAACTCGGTGAAGCTCTCTATTCGTACTCACGTGGTGTTTTGCCTGCATGTACGTCATGCCTGGCACCAGCGGAGGTCAGAAGAGGGCATCAGATCTCCTGGAGCTGGAATTACAGAAGTTTTTGCATTTCCATGTGTGTGCTGGGGAACAAACTCTGGTCTTCCGCAAGAACGCTGCTAAACCACCGTTCTAGCCCCTGGTCATCTAGAGTGTTGAAGTATCAGTATTGTAGTTTTCACTACACGAGTGTTTTGTTACACTTTATTTTAGCAACTGTGGTTTAAGGATCATTTTAAACAACATATTCAGAAATATTATCATCAACACCAATAAAACTGAGCAAAGATGATGGAATGCATTTTAAATGCTTTTCTGGGGAGCCTTTCTGTTGCAATGACCTTCCTTGTGGAGATGATTGTATAGAGCTTTTGTGATCTTAAAAAAAAAAAATAACAGCTAAATTATGCAGCCAGCCCTTTCACACTGCTTCATGTCTCTGAATTTTGGGAACATCTTGCAGACTAGACCGATGGAAACATTCAGCCCACATCTTTCTTTCCTTTTCTCTCTCAGTTAATAAATTAACATTTTGGTTATTCTCCATTCTGATTCTCATCATGGCCAGTGATTACTTGTGATGTCAGATGCTCGATGTAAAAGATAGTACTATTACAGGTTTTAATACTGAAGTTGTATAAAAATGGAGCAAAAATTAAAGCGTTGGATATTTTTCATTTCATTGCTTTATGATTAGTTCAGTACAATGAGATCCTGTTATGTTAGCCCTTACTACTTTCATTTTAATTTAAGAAGTGCCTGGGGAAGGAGAGAGTGATTGTGTTTGGGAAAGCCATGATGGTTTGAAATAAACTAAAACTACATATTCTTTTCTCTATGAACATAATGGCTGCATTTATAAACCATTATGGAAATGTTCTCAGTTTTCAGAAGAAAATGCAAGTAAAATGAAGAAGATCTATGGAGAATTCTGCAGCCATCACAAAGAAGCCATGAGCCTCTTTAAAGAGCTCCAACAGAACAAAAAGTTTCAGAATTTTATTAAGGTAAGTTATTCACCATCATGGTGGCGTAGGCGTCCAGTGTGGGGCGACAGCTCACACTTGTGTCTTAATGAACTAAACAAGTTTCATATTTTGATTCTGTTTCTCAGGGGAAGAAGGAAATGATGGGTTTGACAAAGATGGAAAGTCTAGATGGTAGTAAAACATTTCTCCCAGACGATTTCAATTGCTGTCTTGTATCTGTAAGGCTGTGCTCTCTAAGCTTCTGAGGATAATGGCAGTGGCCTGGAAAGTGGTTTCATGCCCTGACAAGCTGTGTGTCAGAAAAATCAAAATAAAAGCAAATAGAGAATCTGTGTACCCCACGGATTTGCTTCAGGGTCAATTTACTTGAATCAAGTCCATGATATCATATAATTTCATCTATGTCCTTCTGAATGTATTATCTTCTAAAGTATCATGGTAGCATCAGCACACTTAAATCAGTTATCAGTCATTTTTCTGATATCTTCAGTTTTCACTGTTTATCTCCTAAAACTGCATCGGTAAGCCAGGATCTGGACAAGGTTCACTGCCGAGTGTGGCAGTTGTCCCTTAAGCTGCCCTTAACTAGAACCCTCTTTCTCCCTTCTTCCCCACCTTTCACACTCATGTATGGAAGAAGTTTGTCCAGGCTCTGGCTTCCTATCTTTTCATGTGTCATCTTATGAGTTCTGCCAGATTCTCCTCTGTTTTCTTTTCACATATATGTTTAGTGGGCCTTAAACTTAAACATGTTTTGAAATGCTTAGGAAAAGGATTGCTCTGTGAGAAGGGACTTGAGGTGCAAAGGCGGAGGTAGGCTTGCTAGAAAAGCAAATAGTGAAAATGCTCAGATTTCTGTTACTGTCCAAGAGTGTTTGGTATTCCTGAACCCGGAGCTTGCTCCGGGAATTGGAAGTACAGCAGATCAGTGTATCTTGAAACTTCTCCATACCTTGAACTAGAGTGGCTAATGATGAAAATACAAAATGCAAGTGTGGACAGAGTTATACAATCAGAGATTTTGTTGTTATTTATTTCTCAAGTAAAAGAATTGTTATGTATAAAATGTATATGCTTCTCAAGATCCGAAATAGCAACCTTTTGGCTCGCCGCCGAGGAATCCCAGAGTGCATCCTGCTTGTCACCCAGCGCATCACAAAATACCCAGTCTTGGTGGAGAGGATCCTGCAGTACACAAAGGGTGAGAGATTACTTCTGGGACAACCTCTGCCTCTCTTGTTAGTTCTAGTCACAACCGAGGTTCTGAGGAGCCCTGAATGTTGTGCTTTCCACTCACAGATGCTTTCACTGTGAGCAACCTGTTAAAGCCTTTGAGTTGGAGTTCATTTGGGGACATTGCTTTATTTTTTATTACATTTATTTTGTGGGAGGAGAGTAGCATGTGCCGTGATGCCACGTGTGACTGTCAGAGGAGAACTTGCAGAAGCTGTTTCTTTCCTGCCGCGGCTTTCACTGTTCTTTAGAATTTGATGCACAAAGGAATATAAAACGTGTACAGGGAAAGCATCACAGATTTGGCGGTCAGCAAAAACAATGAATACAGAATTAAGGCTTCTCATTTTGTATTGTGTGGATTCTCTTAACACTCTACAATACCCCAGAGACAAAACTGTCAGGTGATGTTAGTCCACTAACCTTGCTCCAGGATTGGTCCCATGCCAAGTTCCCGGCAGACCAGAGGGCAGTAGCGGTCTGCTCCACTCAGTGCAAGCTGTGACTGTGAGCTCTGTCTCTTCACAGAGTCTGCGTGGTGGCACACGGCCGCCTCCTGCTCAGGGCAGGTTTTGCCAAAGGTCGCTCCTGGGTCCTCTGGTTCACATGACTGTTACAGCAGTGCTCCTCAGCTTCACCAGCTGTCCTCCCTTCACAGGGAGGCGAGTTTACACAGGGAGGCTGAGTCAGTGGATGTGAGTGGAGCTTGGGCGGCATTGGTAAAGATCCCTGTCCGACTTTGAGCCTTCTCTTGGAATAACTCCAGGTCATCTGTTAGTTCAACCTCACTTTTCTTTCCCAGTTTTGAAATAGTTTCTCTAGGAGTGAACCCTCTCTGGAGGGGAAGGGCCCTGTCAGGGAGAAGGGAGTAGGAAGGCAGGGAGAGCCTCTTTGTTGGAACGTGGGGACCCTGGTGCCCTCTAGGGGCGTTGTGGTACTGCTTGCAGGCATCTGTGTGTGCACTGAGAATCCCCCAAAGAAGAGACCTTTGGAGGACTGGTTCTGCTCCTCCTGGCTGCGCTTTCTAAGCATGTGTTTCTGCAGCTGCAGGCATGGGAGCGCCTTCGGATTGTCTGCAGTTTTCTTTCTTTTCTCCTCCCTCTTCCTCCCCTCCTGTTAGCTCTTCAGGTCCAGGCACCTGAGCAAACATCAACTAGCTGATCTTTATCATCAAATAAAAAAAAATAGCTAAGGGCCTTTTCATCTGTGGTTTCCAGAAGCCGTCCTAGGGCACCTCCAGTCTTTTCACTCCCCAGGCAGCAGTGGTTTGAAGAGTAACGGGAACTCGGGACAGTCTGTTCTGTATGCATAAGCCTGGCTCACTGCTTTGAGGCACAGTGCCTGGGGCCCTCAAAATATTTTCATTTCTTTCATAATCAGGAGAAAAAAATAACAGGTAAAAAACATTTTCATTATGACCTTCAGATTCTCAATTTTATGCTAATGTAGTTTTGAATTTAAAAAAAAAAAACGAACCCAGAAGGCAAATGAGTCTGGGGCCATTTAAATTGCCCTGTGGCTCCATTTCAGAGGACAGGAGCTTGGCCCCACAGCCGGCTTCTGTCTTTAGAAAACTTAGAAAACGGTCACTTGTTTGCTTGTTTCTAGGAAGGGAGGAGGGCCTTCCTAGACAAAGCCCCTGTTTATATTACATTTGCCAGCTTTTGTTGTTGTTCTTGTTGCTGTGAACAAGCTACCTGATGAGCACCTGCTTCAGGAAGGAAGGGTTTGTTTTGTGTCATAGTTTGAGGGGACGCAGTCTGTCATGACAGGAACACAGGGCAGTGTGAGGCAGTTAGCCACAGGTATCTGCAGACAGGGAGCCAGGGGAGACGGGCTGCGGCTCTTTGCTTCTCGGTTTCTGTCCCATCTGGGTCCCCCGGCCATGTGATGGTGCTGTCCACACTGAAAGTGGGATCTCCTAAGCTCGGCTGCTCTAGGGACTCTCACAGAAATGTCCAGAAGCATGCTTCCTGGGTAATTCCGAATACAGGCACGTAGACAATGAAGATAAACGATCGCACTGCTACCCAGAGCAGCCAGACATCTCACTGTCGGCTGATGCGTGTCTGCACCGCTTCTGTGTGGTGGTGCAGAGAGACATTGCAATACTTGAATTTAACCCAACATCTTTCTTATGGGATCTTTGTTATTTTTAAAGACTTAAAAAATAATCGCTCTCAGTATTCTGGTTTGTTATAATTTTCTTTCATGCAGAAAAGACTGAAGAACACAAAGACCTGTGCAAAGCTCTTGGTTTAATTAAAGACATGATCGCAGCCGTGGATCTAAAAGTCAGCGAATATGAGAAGAACCAGAAATGGCTTGAGATCCTGAATAAAATTGAGAACAAAACGTACACAAAGCTAAAAAATGGCCACGTGTTTAGAAAGCAGGCCCTGATGAGCAAAGAAAGGGCTGTCCTGCACCACGGCCTTGTTTACTGGAAAACCGCTACAGGCCGTTTCAAAGGTACCGTGGCTCTGCCAATCCAACCTCCCCTTCTGTACACATTACTCATTCAGTAGAGGACAGACTTCCCAAAGAGAAATGGTCGTGACTTGCAGGTACACCTACACAAACCCTTGACTTTTTCTCTTGAAACACCAAGTCGTGGCGTTCAGTAGGTAAACGTGACTAGGTGATACACAGGTTTGGCTGGACCCTGCTGTCCCCAGCAAAATCCTTCGCGTGGACTTTGATTCACACGAGAGCTTGTGGTATGGGAAGTCAAAGGAGTTGAGGGTTCTGCACACTGTTGGCATAGAAATATTTTGCTAAATGAGGTGTGTTGAAAGCAAGCAGAGCACACACCTACACAGTGAGGGGCTGCTGCATGCCAGGACAGCCCGGGGCATCCAGACCATGGAGGGGAGAAATGAGGAAGCGCCAGATATCATTTCTGTTATTAAGTAACAGGATCCCTCTACCTGTACACTGGCCTTGGAGAGGTGCCTCCTCACTGGTACGCTGTGCTAACAGGCTTAAGCTTGACTCTGTTAGTCTGCTTAGGCTCCAACTGTTTATTTAGGTTCCCAGGGTCTTACGTTGTAGCTAACACCTTGCCTGTCCTGTGCCTTTTTATATCTCTGGGGTCTGAAAAACTGACTGGGGCTCAAGTCTTCTTCCAGAGACGCCAATATTTCTTTCTTTCTTTCTTTCTTTCTTTCTTTCTTTCTTTCTTTCTTTCTTTCTTTCTTTCTTTCTTTTATATTCTTTCTTTCTTTCTTTCTTTCTCTCTCTCTTTCTTTTTCTCTCTTTCTCTCTCCTTCCTTCCTTCCTTCCTTCCTTCCTTCCTTCCTTCCTTCCTTCC